GCATAACTGACATCATAAATACAGGGAAGAGCAGGAGCCTTGACACACCTCTTGTGGAAAAACTTTGAGAATGTTCTACAACCTTAGCATGTTACGTCATGTTCGAGCTTCGAAGATCAAAAACTGTAGGCTATCTAAAAAACACTGACAGGACTTTCTTTCCAACCTATATTTTGCGTGTGCGCCTCGGATGTACTGAACTATAACAGTTCTACGAGATTTCCAGCAAAATAACAAATAGACTTATTGCTAGCCATTACCAAATCCATTCAAACCAGTGAATCTCAGGAATTCTCGGGAATTCACACCGATTCCAAAAATGCGCATGCAGCACAACAGGTGGCGATTACTGAACTGTGAGATAAGCGACACTGGCGGAACTGCGATAGGTGGCAATAGCGCAATCATGTCATCATTAATCAAAAATTGACCTGTGCCCTATTTGAAAATTGTCCCTTCTGCTGGCTCTTTTACTTCAGGTGTTTCTCACGATTATTTTCGGAAAATTTACTCCACATACAGTCCTCATCATTGCGGACCGGTGGGGCGTGTCAGCCAGTATGAGTGTGCACACTGTTGAAGCCGTTCTCAGCCTTTTTTTGGAACGCGTATAAAAAGTGGTAGAAAACGAGTAATACGGAGGATATAATACAGTCATATCATTTGCTCGCTTTAAATACTGGTGGAGAGCGGGTTTGGCACCGCGCCAAACGCAGCCGCACTGAACCGCCCCGACAGTACGTAATGATGAGGACTGTAAGGAATGAATGTCACATAAAATATGTTCGCATGCACGGCAACTAAGGATTCCATAAAGTGGTTCCTAAAAAGGGGTGTCAGAAAAAACGAACAGCTCTAAGGTAGAACCAGTAACTCAGTAATGGAGAAAAAGCAAAAGCCTTCAGAAAAATCTAGGGCTTCTTGCCTCGCGCACTGTCACCATTCGTAGGAAAGAGGGAGTAACGAAAACATAGCACCATCGAAAGCCTTCAGAAACGGACGTTGGGCGTAGCGTGGAGTGGTGGGCGGAGCTCGTCTGCGCTGCGAGCAGGTGGCGTACTTAGGACACGTTATAAGCCGCGAAAGTTGCACATCCTCTTTAGTTTGTGAAGTGGACTATCTTGCCCAAAGGGAGCATCTGCACTTCGTAGACATCGCTAACGTCATGCATACGGGCATAGAAACGAAAAGACCTACGTAGGATGTCTGCTCTTGATCCTGCCTAGCTCATCTCATATTCTGCTTTTGTTCAGGAGTTAAACTGGTGGCTCTCTGCAGAAAAAATAAGGCTGCGTTTATACTTTGCGGCAGCGTAGCGTAGCGTAGCGCAGCGTAGCGTAGCGCTTCCAGCGTACGCCAGCGGCAGTGCCGAAGAGAGGATGCATATCGATCTAGCTTCACCAGCGTCACCAGCGGCACGCTGGCGTAGCGAGGGCACGGGAAGCATAGCTATCGATCTAGCTTCACCAGCGTCACCAGCGGCACGCTGGCGTAGCGAGGGCACGGGAAGCATAGCTATCGATCTAGCTTCACCAGCTTCACCAGCGGCACGCTGGCGTAGCGA